GAGAGTGAGTGAGTGAGTGAGTGAGTTAGTGAATGAGAGTGAGTGAGTGAGTGAGTGAGTTAGTGAATGAGAGTGAGTGAGAGTGAGTGAGAGAGTGAATGATGGTGAGTGAATTAGAGTGAGTGAGTGAGAGTGAGTGAGTGAGTGAGAGAGTCGATTTTGCTACTTTTGTTCATTTAATATCAAACTTAATAGTGTTCCTGTGAAAAATATTCCCAGCTGAATACTAAATGGAAAGAACAGTTGAAGTGTCAGCATTTTTACCTTGTTCAAAATGACTAACGCATAGTATTAACTACAAGCAATAATATTGTGTCATTATTTTCCCTACTAGAAGAAAGTACATGTTAAAAGTACTGAAAACACTAAATAGAAATACTGTCAAATAAATTTTATTTTTCTTGCTTTGACATACATGTGAAACTCCAATAAAACAGAAAGAGAAATGCTGTGAAAGAAGAGGTGATTAATTTTCATAGACAACCTACTCTTGTTGAGTCCACTGACTATGCCCAGATAGAGATTTCTAAAGTGCTTTCAAAGCATAGGTTTTCTGTATGTATTAATTACAAGTTCATTACTATTATAAAACTGACTCATCATAAAACTGGGAAGAATAAGAAGAAAGAAAATCATATATGGTGAGTGTAAGTACTAAATTTTTGATGCTTGTTACTGTTTTTTAAAGAGCAAAACCAATTTCAAAGATTGGTCTTACATTTCTATCAAAGGATTATTGGACTAAACCAAAATCATTGAACAATTCTGTCAAATCCAGATTCAAATTTTCTGCAAATGATTGAGGAATTCCTAGACAGCGTCAAGTCACAGGCAGTGCTTATTATTTAGCACATGGTACATGAGGAGAAAATTGATCTTCAAAATAACTTTTAATCTTCCTTATGCCAATTTCTTCCCATGGGTGATACAATTGCTCCACAAAAAATTATTCCAAGCACATACACTTAACTCACAGGTCAGTAGGCAGACAGCTAGATATATTAAAACTAGAAATATTATCTCAGAGGAGAGAAATAAGGATCAAAGTGAGCAATGATTTAAATGATAAAATAATACTCCCTACCATGGACCACTGCATCCCTGTATGGTACCCTCACATGCTCGGCTCTTGTGGAATGACTGGTGGTTGCATTCTTTCAGAGATGCCGCAGAAGGAAGGTTTGATGGCCATTTTCAATATAGTTAGTGGGGCTTTTGGCTTGTTTTTACCAAAATTAGTCCAAAAATCCCTACAGAGCACAGTTCTTCTTAGACTTATCGTGGGTTGGAACTGAGGCTACAGTGAATGTTTTTTAGGCAAGTCTTATGGCTTTAAATAACAAACTACAATAATTTGGCAAAAAAGAAGCAAAAAGAAAACAAAAATCCTTGATGAGAGATGCTACACCTGAGGCTTATAGAGGTTAAGTCATCTGCATAGGATCCTATTGGATGCCAGTTCAGAGGCTTTTATTCTTATGTTTTCACATTCTTGACTGTCTCGATGCCCACTGAGCTGGTAGGTAGAGGCAAGCCTTTGAAGGAGTGAGGTTTTTAGATTTACAAATAGAAAGCGGGAGACAAAGATGTTTGAACTTCTTTCATGTCTTTAACATTCAGATAAGTATTAAGAAAGTTATCTCATTATTTCTCTTTATGCTCATATTTGGTAAAAACCACTCTGAGACTATACATGCTGAGATTTGTTTAGAGTCAAGCCACTGAAGGATGAAAAATAAATAAGAGTGATTAAGATGTAGGAAGCAATTCCTCTCAAAGTAGAATAAAGCATGACATCCTCCTTCACTAGGAAAGAGAACCTTAGTAATGAGTGTGTGTAAATCTCTAAGAGCAATGTTGTATAATTATATGTGGACAGGATTTTGATATTTCCTCCAGCAAAGATAAACAGAAATAAAGTTAAATTATGCACAAGAAGGAGTCATATTATTCACAAGGAGATGCTAGCTAAAAATAATTAATGGGGCTAATGGCACTGTGGGGCAGAATTGACTCGCTAGCAAAGAGTTTTTTGGGTCACGGCATGGTTTGCTAGCTTTGGACTGCGAACCACAGCATCAGAGATTCAAATGCGTTGGTAGCTTCACGGGAGAAAGGGGAGGCCGTCGGCTCCTTCAAGGATTCAGTTTCTGAAACTTTGTGTGGGGTTGCGCCAAGTTGGAATGGACTTGGTGGCAGGGGTTTGGGTTTGAAATAATTAGTCAGCTCTATACCAGGACTAGAAGCAGACCTATAAAGAGATGCTGTTCTACTTTATGTTTTGCTTGGGGAAGTAAATATATCAATCTATATGGATATAAATGTTTCCTATTATGTGAGATATGTAAAATTGTCCCTATTTTAAAAGAGAAATCTGACGCTCAGAAAGTTTAAGAAGGCTTCCAATCTTTATGTAGCAATTAAGTGGGAAGTCAAGAGGGAAAGATGAGCTGTTGGGGAAGTGAGAAGCCCAATCCTTAGAGTTAGGTTCCTGGGTTGCAACCTGAACTTGGCAGTTTCTCATCATTCGTCCATAAAAAAATGATTTCCACAAATGTATCATTCTTTATCTGTGAAATCAGAGCGCATAGAAAGATTACATGGGCATGGTGTTGGAGGAAGTACTTTGGATATGAATATAAATAATTCTTAAAAGAATTTATGAAAGAGCAAACTTCCTTCTTGGCATATATTTAAAAGCCAAAGGAATCTAAGAGCCCATTTTTTATTCAGCGATGTTTTGATCTAAACTTCTGTCCCCGTGTTTCTACTTGAGTACTGTACTTCTCGTCTTTAAATTCATGTGCAGCATAAATTACTTTTGCCATTCAGCATGCCTATAAATTGCCCATGCTTTGCCTGGACTTTGAGAGACTTTAGTTATGTCGGAAGAAAAGAAGAGTCACTATCAGACACTACTTCCTTAATTACCGCCTGCCCTGTGTTCTCAGGGCCGAGTGAGAAGATGGCTGTTGGGGCATTCAGACCAACATTCATAGAAATGAGCGCCACCTGATAATGAAAGTGAACCTGAAAAGGACTTACAACTTCAGAGAAACGAGGGCAGGATCTTACAGCAGACAGGTTCAATGTTTCGTTTACCCTTTTGAATATTACTCATTTGTCAGGGTTGAACTGGAATTGCTCTTGTCCCTCCCATTATTGATATTCCCTACAGCAGACAGGTTCAATGCTTCATTTACCCTTTTGAATATTACTCATTTGTCAGGGTTGAACTGGAATTGTTCCTGTCCCTCCCATTATTGATATTCCCTAGAAAATTAGGAATAGATCCCATGATTGGATTACCATATTTTTCCTAAAATAAGGGGCCTATGCATACAACAAGCGCAGTGAGTGGCTCCTGGGAAATTAACCTGTAAGGGATTTGCGCAGTTTTCAAACAAAAACAAAAACATCGAACACGTGCACGACTTGCTTGAAAAATACAGAAATGGTCACCAATCCCTGAAAAAAAATTGCAAGCCATAGCAACAGCCTCTGCAGATGGTGAAGAACGTAAAAAGGGAACATTACAGAGCAATTTAAACTGAGCAAGATAATTAGACTCAGAGACACCGTTTCCTGCCTTGCTGGTATAAACAAAGACGTTTCTACACTGGCCTCTCCACAACCTGATGTCCCAAGGCCAGCTCCTGCTTCTGTCCTTCCACTTTCCCTCAGGAGAATTCTAGGTCATAAAGGACGAAGAATGACTGTAACGTCTTTCCTGAAGTGACTCGGGCTTCCTCTGCTTTTGTGTTTGTGACATTTTATTACAAGGAGACCTAACATCTATTATTAATTGATGCACTAATTAAAGCCATGCTTGCAGTTTCCATTAGCTTATTCCCTAAATTCTCCAGTTAGCTGTCTGGTTTTAATCAAAACCAAATGGGAGCCCAAGTTCCCAGCCTGGAGCAGCGAGGAGGAAGTCATTCAGTGGAGGCTCAAGAAAGCTGAGAAGATAAACAGTTGATAGTTGGCAAAATCTGTGTTGGAGGAAGGATGTAGGTACTGAGAGATGTGATTCAGGGACTTGAGAGATGTGGCGCGGAGACTCTTGTCAGGCTGGACGGAAGCAGTTGCAAGCCTTTCATGTACGAATCTAATAGGATCAAGATGGCGTCTTCTGCTTTTTCAGGCGCCGGTTTGTGGACGTCTGGAAGATTCTGACTAGAGGCAACGCTGCCTGGGCCCTAACACCCAGCGACCCACGTTAGTTCTCTGACGGCCACCTGGGGTTGGAGAGCGAGCGTGAAGGCGGCTGTTATTGCCTGGGTGCTTGGAATTTTACTCCCAGATTGTCTCAGGTGCAGTCTTTTAAAGATTAAGTAGTGGGGAAGCGGTTTTTAAAAATTAGGAGAAATACGGTTTGAAAACTCTAACTGTATCTCGCTCTCTTAAAAGAGCTTTTGAAAGGAGAACTGGCAAGGGTGTTTTGACCAGGCTGCTTCTATACACTGAACAGAATGGAAATCTTGTCGATGGGAGCCGAACTATGTTTTCTGTCTCTCTGTTTTCTTTTTGGTCCCACCCCCCCACCCCCCCTCTCCTCAGCAGGGTAGGCTAGCAAAAGCTATAGGGCTTTATGACCCTCCAGCTCAGCCCCTCCGGAGCTCGGACACACTGCCTTCAGCTCTGTGTCAAATCAGAGCTCCTCCAGGGCCCAGCCCGCCCCAGCCCCGCTCCCCTCCGCCCGCCCAGGCGTTCTCACAAGCACGCTGCTCCTCGCAGGCAGGAAATACTTTCCAGCAATCTGGGCCTGCTGGTGGAGGCCCCTCCGCCAAACATCAGTCTGAATTTAGCAGACAGGAGTCACCAGGAACGCCTTGAGAGTCCTGCTTGAGCTCAGGCGCCCTCCAGCTGGGGAGGGTGTTTTTGTTAGAATCATACACTGCGTCCAAGGGCGCAGAGTCGAGGCATGATCTCCAGCACGCAGTGTGACTGGATCCTGGAGCAGCCGACGGCACGGACTGCTTGCCCAGCCTGAGTGTCGCCCCAGCCCTGCGCCCCCTGGTCTAGGTAAGAGGGTCTGGACGCTCCTCTCCGTCTGGATGCTTGGAGGTAATCGTGGCAGAGGCGGGGTGAGTGGGATTCAATGCCAGCATCTTGCGCTGCTCCAGGTGTGTCTTCTTAAGGCTTGGGAGTTAAGCTACGAAATCAGAAGGAGAACTTGTTTTAGAAAGCAGGGAAACTGTGAGTCCAATAGTTTTAGCCAAATGTCAATCTGAAAATAGGCTCCACGTAGAGTTTATTCGTTTCCTTCCTAGGGTAGGATTTTATTGGAATCCCTTTTTATTTTTATTTGTTCATTGAGTTATTAGAAGTAGTTTTGCTAATGCATGATTTAAAGAGCAGCAAATATAAGCTCTCACACCTGAAGGTGAGTTGTGAATTACATTTTTTTCAAAACTTCTTTTATTGAAAGGGAGAGTAGACAGTACTGTGATGACTTCTGTTATAATGAATCTCCTAAGAATGATAGTTTAATATAAAATGATGAGTACCGGATTCCTCCATGGTGCCCCAAATCAGTTTCAGTACTGGTCAAGTCGCTTCTGTACAAGCCAAAACATTCATTATACAGAAAGCAAAAGATCAAATCGATGCAACGTCAAAACTTATTTCTATCCTAATTAATGCTTAATCTGTGTCTCAGGAATGTATGTAGCACCATGATGATGTGATTTGCATAACTTTCTTTCCTGGCTTCTCTGTTCAGGTCATGTTTTGTGTGGATGTCTTGAAAGATGTCAGATTTTCATGGCTGTGCTGTTCATTTGTGGCTCTTTTAGGGTAGCCAGAAATCACTACAATCATAGGAAAGGGGAACCATGTGTCCAAACTTCATGTAGTCATAAAATTATATGTCTCAGGGACTATCGTGTCACTGAAGTCTCTGAAATGGTTAAATATATAATATATGAGGAAAGAAGTTTAGTAGTTACTGAAATAGCATGAACTTATAATGCATAACATACTGTTATACTTTGAAGATTTTGAATATGTATCATTTTGTAGAAACTATGGAATGGTGTGAAAGGGAACAGATATTTGTGTGTATTTCCAAATCAATTCGATTAACGCATCTATTAGAGACACTAAATGAAAGCGAGGGAGCTAGCTTGACAAGGATCATAAATAAAGGTTTTAATGAGGGGTTTTTACATAGTATAAAATGGCCATGTGTTGTATTAGTTCATCGGTTCTTAAATGCTATGCTATGCCAACATCTTAACACATTTTCACTATTCACTAACAGTTTGTCATGCATAGGCTTTTAACACGTGAGGAAAAGGGTCAATTCATTTGCAAATGTGTTAAAAATAATATACTGACTTATCTCAAGTCTAGCTCAATAAATCCCTGACTTCTCTCAAGTAGAGCTTACTGAAGAGATTTGCAGGGAAGGAAAGAACATGAGACATCTTCTCACTGTGGCCTGAGGTTCCCAGCAAGGGAACTGAGGGGTCGCATTCTTCAGTGACCTGTCCATGATCACACCACTGGCCAGTGGAAGAGATGACAGTGAAACCACAACCCATGATTCAGCGTTGAGACTGCTCTGCTGCTCTCAGAGCATAATTATGCAAACTTAAGTATGAGCATGTCCAGGACAATGCTACTTTGCAGACAGAAAATTAGAAAGCCACTTTGAAAAAAAATAATAATAAGGTGTTGATAGCTGCTGTGTGTTTGGTTGGGGAGTACGGAGGAGCAGGTATCAAGATTATTGTTTTTTTTAAAAAGAAGGAGCAAATTGACTAAATAGTGCAATTGATTTAGTATGGCTTCAACAAACACTTTAAACGAGTAGCTTGTTTTGTGACTCTGTTGTCATGTTTTGCTTTTATGCCAAGAAAATCAGTCCATATGCTAATGATGATATTAATTTTTTCAACTGGTGTTTCTTAGAAACACAGGGCTAGAAGAGAACTTGACCAATTAATATCCTTGTATTCAAACGGTATCAGCATAAAGCGACCCCCCCAGAGAAGTTTTCAGAGATTTTACTACCTTCCTCCCCACCCCACCCGACCCGCCAATAGAAAGGGTTGAGGAATCTCCTGTATCCTGACATTCCTTCTTTTACCTAACCGAAGTCTTGATTGCTGTAGTGTATTTCCAATTCTTTGAGATTTTTTCCTGAGTGGAAATATAGAAAACCTAAGTGGACATATGAAAATGTAGGCAGACATTTCGAGGCCAATTGAGCCCAGTGCCTTCCATCTTCCTCCCTCCTTCTTATCTCGGATGCTGTAATGGGTTTATATCTCTACTCCGAGCAGAAGCAAGGTCCTCTACAGAATCCGTCATAGGACTTAAATAAGAACCTGGCCAGTGCCGTGTACAATAGGAGCAGTGGCTGTCCCATCTGAATCGTATTTCCCACAGGTTGCTGTACAAGCTGAAACACTGCACTGCCCAAGGACATAGTCTTTCCCATAAACCTAAACTACCAGATATACTTGAGTATAAACCAACCCGAATATCAGCCGAGGCACGTAATTTTACCACAAAAACTGCATTAAAAATGTGCTTAAAAACTTGGCTTATACACGAGTATATATGAGTATGTCATAATGCAAGCTGGTTTTTTCCGGGGCATGCTTGTCTAATGCTCTTTTCCCACCATTCTCTCCCATTTCCATGGACCAGACTGAGTTTCCTGATGTTATTACCACTTGAAGGATACATGATCCAGTACTTACATCACCACCACTACTGGAATGAGGAATTCATGACATCAAGCAGTTGTCTCTAGAGGACTTAGAAAAGACAGCTCATTTCTTTTTTTTTTTAAAGGTCATTAAAACAAAAAAAGATAACTTTTTTCTGGCCTGATCCAAATCTTTTTATACCATATGCCTCATTGAAAAATACTTCCGGCTTAGCTTAATCTTATTTATAGAGGATTCGGTCTTATAGGCCTCAAACAAGTCTCACTCAGCTCCTCTAAAATTTGCCCATGCTTTTCATTCTATCTGTTTCTTCTTGGAGGATGAATGGATCGCAGTTAGTGCTATCTTACAGTGAGAATCTCTTTATAGAAATTAATACAGTCCATCAAAGTTCCGAGTAGGACATGCCCTAGGACTGGATCAGAATAGAGACATGTCAAAAATGGCACATGAGAATTCATTGAAAACCTCCAGATTTGGAAGGGGCATGAATATCCGTCATTCCCCGAATGAATGATGGGCTCTATCTGAGTACAACAGGAGCCTAATTCGGAGGAACCTGACTCCAGATAGACTAGTGTGGCTATGTAAGCATGGGTTTCTATGGAAGAGGGTCTTTGTATTGTTATTTTGCTGTTGGACTGTGGGTCGCTTTCTGGAGTTTTGAGAAATAGATTAGCTTAGTTTTTAAAGAAGTTGAACAAAATAAAGGCAAAGTGAGGATCTGGGATGTTAGTTAAAGAGGGTGTTCATTTTGGATCCAGTTAATTAGAGAGTACAACATGAACTTGAGAAGTTTAAGGAAGGGCTACCATACAAGTCAAAAGGCAATACAAACAGCATCGTGCTCATGAGACTTGCTCAATGAGATAGAGGGGAAGGCAAGACCATTCATTATAGATATTTGTATGTATTGAAAGACAGTTTTTGGATTAGATTGAAATGACATGCATTTTAATTGTACACTTCTATTAATTCAAAGATAAAAATTGAATTTAATTATTGTTTCATTTTATTCTTATCAATTAGCAATGTACCTAGCATGTTGGCATTGCCAGTACCTATTTATCAATGAATATTCATGGCATAAGTGGAAAAGAAAGGAAAGAAAAAAGAGTCGAAGAGTGGCAATGTGTAAGAATTGTGGGCCCCTCCCCCAAGTCATCCTATGATGACAAGATATTAATTTTGAAAGAGGAAGGAATATAAGAGGTTGGCCAAACTCATCAAAGTCTAAGGCCAGGGATTAACACATGCTTTTTTAAAAAAATCATTTTATTGAGGGCTCATCCAGCTCTTATCACAATCCATACATACATCCATTGTTTAACACGTGCTCTTAATATGGTATTACAAAATGATTAAACATCAGAAGGAAGCAAGAAGATCCAGAAATGGTTTTTAAATTAAAAGTTGTATGAGGCCAGTCTCCGCATAGTACTAGTTAGTTTTCTGCCTTATGAGTGGAATGGTGTGCTGGAAAAGTCAAAGGGCGAGTCAGAAAACTGGCTCGGATTTGTCTTGTGGTCACTTGATGCGCTGTCATTTGAGACATGTGCCATGCCGACTTTGAGATTGTGTTTTTTATTATTGACAAAGTGGACAGGATACTGAAAATATTTATATCGCCAGCTCGCTTTGAGCATCAAATGAAATTTTTTTCATGTGAAAATACTTTTGTATGCCATTTAACAAGGCCTTTTTTGTTTTAAAACAACGTAAGTCAACTTGTCGCAAAGAATAAAGCGTCATTGTGTTCCGTATTTTGGACAAATCATCCATCTATATGAAAATGACAGGAGTATAAAAGATCGTTCTAGTTTATACTCCCTGCGAATTCTCAGCAAAGGCCAATCAAAAGCTACTGGGGAACCAGCATCATCATCACCCTGCTGTCAGTTTACCTCTGTTGAATGTGTGCAGTGTTCCTGGCCCAAGTGCTCCACACATATATTATTCATTAAATTGACCTCTCCATAGTGTTTTCATTATTCCCATTTCAGAGTGGAGAGAATTGAGACATGCAGAATGCAGGCAGTTATTCCAAACCACCAGAAACAAAAAAAGATTATTTAACAGGTATTTGGCAGTGCATATAATGGAGTTCATCATCCCTGTCCACTAGCAGGTATTTGGCCTGAGTTAGATATTCCCATTGAAGTGCTATTCCTCTCTATAAAGTTGAAGCACTGATAGCACCTGCCTCACAGAGGGTCATTATTAAAGAAGATAGTGTATACAAACCACCAAAAATCCCGACCCACAAAAATACTCAACTAATGAAAACTGTTTTTCACTATTACTATTATTGGATAAAACTTTCTGGTGCACGTACTATTA